CTTCCACAGGAAAAACATCTTATATTAAGAATAGAGTAATTTTTATATAAATTAATACTGTCCTAAATCATACAAAATTATTCATAATCATCATGAAAATTTTTAAGAAGATCAAGAAAGTCTTTTCTTTTTATCATTAGAAGTGTTGTAAATTCTCTACTTTTTATTGAGATTTTTCTTGCTTTTCCACTAAAAAATCCTATTTCTCCAAAACATTAACCTTCATAAAGAGTATGAAGTGTCTTAGATGTATCATTTTGTTATTCTATATTAATTTCCACCGAACCTTTTTCAATAAAAAATATTGAAGAAGAATCTACATTTCCTTCTTAGCAAATTATTTCCTATGGTGTACATCTGTATTCATGTATTAAAGGAATTGTCTTTTATATTAGATCATCACTGAAATTATTTCTAAATATTTTTGAGTCTTTTAAAATTATTTTATTTGCTTCTATTAATAAACGCTCTTTCAAATTATCTGATAATTAATTTATTATTTTTTGTTCATCTTTTTAGTTTCTTTAGCTAGTTTCTTTCCAATAATAGTCTAAATATTCTCTTATTTAATATTAAAGATCCTTATTTACGTCTTTATTCATCATATACATATTTATTATAGACATATTCTTACTTATTTTGTTTTCTATTTTATAAAAATCTTAAATTATATAACCTATTGTGTTCATAGAATAAGCGAAAACTCCACAGCTTATAATCATTACTATAATTGAGATTATCTTTTCGGTTTTGCTTACTGGCAAAATATCTCCATATCCGACAGTTATCATAGTCACTGTTGTAAAGTAAAAAGCTTCTACATATTAAATATCCCAATCTGAGTTTTATATTCCGATTTTTGTCATCCATGATTATTTGGATTAATTTTAGGCTATAACTATCCAAAAGCATGACAAAAGATGAGAAATTAAAACTATTGTAAATATTAATTTGACTAGTTTTATTAAATTTTTTAAGTTTTTTTATATATAATTGTGTTCTTCTAATTTTTATAGGATCTATTAAAAACTTATTAATTTTAAAAAAAATATTAATAAAAAATAATCTTAGGTTTAAATTTGCTTTTTGTCTGTATTTTATGCTGATTCATTATTTAATATTTAATACTATTTTAATAAAAAATTTTTTTTAAAAAAAACAATATTAATTAGATTATATTTTTTTACTATTAATTATAAGATACTTAGTATGTTTGTAAATAAACTTCTTTCAATATAATTAACTACTATCAAATATCTATTAAGAGTAGGAAGACCTTGCTTAAAAAATAAAGTGTTCATATTAATAAAAATATCAAGTATAAGTAAAAATGGAGTAGTAATAGTAAATCTATAAGGTTAAAAATAAGAAAAAGGGAATCCAAAAGTCAAATGCAAAGGAATTAAAAAAATATAAGTTAAAATTATACTTAAATGCAAGAAATCCCAAATTATTTTAAAATGTGATGATGGCTCAAAAAGTGGTATTCTTAATAAAATCTTATAAATTAATTTCATAAATTTTGAATTTATTATTAAAGTTTTTAATCTTTTAAAAATCATTAAATTTTTATTTATTATTTCTTTATAATTTGAAATCTCTAAATGTTATTCTACTGTCTGTTATTTCTTTTTGCTAATTCTTATTAATTCATTCTATGTTAATAAGCTTTAATGCTTTTTTTATTCTATATATTTTGCTTTATCATCTATTTAACAATATTAACGTTCTGTTAAATTTTTAAACATTCTTGAATGAGTCTGGTTTAAAAGCCTCTTACTTAAAAGTTTTAATTTTAATTTAGAAAACAAATCCTTCAATGTAAATCCTTATAAGGCGTTTATATTTGAGTCCATTTAATAACTCTATTAATTTTTATTTTAAAATGTTTATTAAATATTTAACGATTTAATAATTTATGTATAAACAAAAGTAAATAAATATTTAAATTTTAATTAAATATTCAAAAATAAAAATAACTATAGTTTATATAATAAATAACTATCTTTCGAACAATAAATTATATTTGTGAAAATTTATTTAAATTGAAAATTGATATAATGAGGTATGAATATATAAAATATTATATATAAAATTATAAAGAAATAAGAGCAATTATTTATTGAATATATATTAACTTAGTATAGTATAGATGTGCCTATGGCATCAGATCAAACATAAGATATCGAACGATGTGGTAATTTTTCAAGCATCGTATCGCATCTCATCTAAGAAAAAAATTAACTTCCGATTAATCGGAGTTTTCATACTATGTTTGCATTCTATATTAATTATTAATTAAATTTTTTATATATACTATAAAATTAATACTAATTAAATTGAATATTTAACTATATGAAATCGTGTTTAAATAGTAATTTTTTAACTAAAAAAAATTAATATTTCATTATTTGCAAATATTCAAAAATGAGTTTTATATTTATATATATGTGCTTTTAATTCTATTTGTGGTTAAGCATGCATTATTATATTTATTTTATATAAAATTAAATAAGGAGGAAATCGTTTAAAAATAAAAAATAATAATTAAATTAAAAAACAATAAAACCACGACAAAAATTAAGAATAATTATGGTCTGTAAATAAATAAATTAGTTAGCTTATTTTATTAGATAAAAGCTATATATATTAATAGATTTTATACTAGAGAAAAATTAAGAGTATTCTTTTAATAAAAAACTAGAATATATAGTAAAATACAAAAACTTAAAAACTTTATCAAAATTATAAGCTTAAAACTATCTTGATTGCTTAAATGATTTATATAATAAACCTTTTTAAAAAGATAATTAAGAGAAAAAATAAAATACTTTAAAATAAAAACATGAAGAAAATATAAATTATAAAATAAATTTAGCTGCTTAATTACTTTAATAATATGATTTCAAATATATCTAATATTAAACTTAATTAACTAAAAATTAAATAAAAGGGATACAAACTAAATTAAAAAATAATTTACCTTCTACAATAACGTAAAAACAGATAAATTTTAAATTTAATAATTTAATGTGTAGTTTTATTAAAGATGATATAATAATTAACAATTAATATGGTTTAAATACAAAAAAATAATGAAATTAACACAACAAAATTTAACCTTTAAAAAGATTTTATGTGCTTATATGCTTTTACAAGGAATTTAAAAGAAAATGCAATCTAAGCTTTAAAAAGGTAAGTACCTGCAAAACAGAAATGGATTCAAATAAAGCGATAAATTAAAGGTACGAATTTTCATTTGATATGACTTCTTTACTACTCAATGATTATATACCTATATTTATTGATGAGGCCGGAATAAATATTGATTAATAGCCAAAATATGACTGGATACCAAATAAAATATAATAAAAGTAAAAAAACTATCACATATTACAATATATGGGAGCCATGACACCAAATAAAATCATTGGATATATCGCCTTAAAATGATGGGTTTTTTAGTAGTATTTTTATTGGATTTATATCTAATATTCTTAATTATTTTAACAAATAATAAAATTATAAGAAATATGTTTTAATATTTGATTAGGCATCTTCTCATATATCTAAACAATTCCGAAAAAAATTAAAAAATAAAATACCGTATGTCTATACGCCAGTTAATTCACCTTAATATATATAATCCAATTGAACTAATTTGGAATATACTAAAAAGTGAATTAAAAAATTGCTAAATGAAAAGCTAAAACAATTTTTTAAAAATAAAATATTTATATTTGAAAAAAATAATAAATATTAACAAAAAAAATAAATATAAATTTAAAAACAATAAACAAAGCTATGTGGAAGATAATTTTTTTTTTAGAAACTATTATAACTTGTAATTTATTATTTACTTTATTTACATTAAATAATTTTTATTTATATTTAAATTATGAGATTTTCTATTTTTGTAGCTTTTTAATATTTACTTTGATATAAATTATATAGTTATATAAATACTGTTTAAAATTCCAAACATTTTATAAATATTAATAATTTTATTTCAATAAAATTTAATTTTTTTATATTTATGATTAAATTATATTTTTATATTATATATCCGTTTCCTGCCCAACCATTAGAATAATTTAATTTTTTTGTTTTACATGCTTTTGCTTAATTTAAATAAAATAAATAGGTTATGTATAATTTACTTTTATATTTAGATAAATAAGTATATATATATTTTTTTTAATATAATTATCTTATTTTTTATTTTTTGTTATAAAAAAATCTAATTCATTCATTATTTTTAGTTATTTTTTTTTTAGATTTCTATTTTTTCTCAGCTTCTATTAATTATTCACTTTTTCTGAATTAAGAACACTATACATTAGATAAAATTAAAACTTATGTCTTTTTTTTAAAAAAAAATGCATTTGTTGTAAAATCCCATTGGTTAGATTAATTATTTTACTCTAAATTTAAAGCTATTTTTTATTTTTATATAAGGTTCATTTAAATTAAAAAATATATGCTTGGTATTAATAAATAACAGATATCTAACATCAATTTTTATTAGGTAATTTAAAGCAATAAAATCCCCAAATTACCAATTTAAGATAATTATTATTAAATTTTATTTGTTTTTCTATGTGTTTAGGCACTTAATCTGTAAATCCCTCCACAAAACTAAAAGTTGTATTGTTTAGAATATATTAAAAATATTAAGTAAATATACAAATTCTTTTCTAAATCCTTTTTTAAATTTTATTTTTTAAAATTTAAATACAATGCAATGTTCTTTTAATTAAAATAATTAAATCAAAAAATTAAAATTTATATGATTTTTTTTTTTTTTTTTAGCAATATGCTTTTATAGAACAAAAATAATAAAAAAATATATTATATAAATATATGTTAAATATCAAATGATTTTTTATAATAAGATATAATATTGCTAATTAGAATTTAATAAATTTAATATATACAATTAATTAATTTTTTTAAAATAATATATATTTTTTTTAAATATAATATACATAAATTTATAATATCTAAAAAAATAAAATATTGTTTATATTAATAAATAAAATATAAACTTTTCGTCAATATTCCAAATAGGAAAGAAAAGTAAACAAATAAATAAAATATAAAAAAATAAAAATAATCATTTTTTCAAATTCAAACATTTTCTAACAGCATTAACAACATTACCAGAATTAGGTAAACACATGGCTTCTAAATTAGGAGCATAAGGCATAGGAATATCCAGTCCAGTTATTCTTTCAACAGGTGCATCAAGTTAATCAAAAGCAGAACTTTCCATAAGCAAAGCGCAAATTTCAGATCCAATTCCACACTAAGGCCATCCTTCTTCAACAACGACAAGATGATGAGTTTTTTTTACTGAGTCAATTATAGTCTTTCTATCTAATGGTCTAACAGTTCTTAAATTAATAACTTCACAAGAAACACTTTCTTTTGCAAGTAATTAAGCTGCTTCAAGGCAATAGCTAACACCTCTAGAAAAAGAAACAAGAGTAACATCATTTCCTTCTCTCATAATTTTAGCTTTTCCGATAGGAACAACAAAATCTTTATCCAAAACTTAATCAGATACTTCAAATTATTGATTATACATGATTTCATTTTCTAAAAATACTACAGGATTAGGATCTCTTATAGCAGACTTTAATAAACCACGTGCATCTTCAGCGTCATAAGGAACTAAAGTTATAAGTCCAGGTACTGATGAAAACCAAGCAGCAAAACATTAAGAATGTTAAGCAGCTACAGCTGCTGAAGCTCCATTAATTCCTCTAAATACAATAGGACTAGATAAAATACCATTACTCATATAATGAAGCTTTGCTGAACTATTTATTATATGATCAATAGCTTACATAGCGAAATTCCATGTCATAAATTCTAATACTGGTTTTAAACCATGCATTGAAGCGCCTACAGCCATTCCTGTAAAACCTAAAAATATTTATTATATATTATAAAATAATTAAATATATATATATTTAAAAAATTTATAAATGAAAATTTATATAAATATATAATATAATTATAATATATATATATATATATATATATATATATTTATTAATATAAACCTATTTCTGATATTGGAGTATCCCATATTCTTTCTGCGCCATGTTTTTATATTAAATTTTTTGTTATTTTATATGCCCCTTAATATATTCCTAATTCCTCTCCTTTTTAAATTTTATAAATTCAATTATTATTTTATTTATAAATTTAATACCTATTAAAAATACTTTAGGATCATTTTACAATTCTTCATCTAAAGCAGTGTTTAGAGCTTCTCTAACAGTAATTGATTTATTAAATTTTATTGTATTAAAAAGCTATTAAGACATAAACTTCTTTTTATTTTTAAATTTATATAATATATTATATATTTTTCTTAAATAAAAATTATTTAAGTAATATTAGTTCTGTATTAGATTCAGTATAAGAAATATATTATAAAATTACTTAATGTAAGACACTTTTTGGCAATAAACACTTTATCATTTTGTAAATTAGATATAAAAAAATATAGTAAAAATCAAATTATTTGAAATAATAAAAAACAAATTTATAAAAAATATATATAAAAATGTTTAAATAAATAATTATTTATTATAAATAATTAGATATAAAAAAAAAAATTGAAATTATAAAAAAAAAAAATTACATATAATAAGATGTTAATTATATTTATTAATTAATAAATTTATTTATATATTTATTTATTTATTTATTTATTTATATATATTTATATTATATATATTTATATATATTTATATATATTTATATATATTTACAAACAAAAACATATATTTAATATTTACATAATTGTAAAATTCATATAGATATTTTAAAATAAAATAAATTTTATATTTATTTCATATTTTATTTATGAAATTAATTTATAAAAAATCAAAATATTATCATATAGATTTTTAATAAATTTTTTAAATAAAAAATCTATAAAATATTTTTAATGAATAATATGAATAAAAATATTAAATTTTATTAAAATGATTAGTACAATATTAATAAAATTTTCGGAAATTTTCATAATTTTAAAAATGAAAACTTATTTCTTAATTTTATTTATAACGAATAAAATATTTATCTTTTTTAATTGTTCTAATTTACTTTTTTTATTATTATTTATTTCTTTTTATATGATATTTATTAAGCTTAGGATTCATAATAATATTTAATTATCTTTTTCATGATATTTTCCATAATAGTTTATTATTTTGTTTCTTAAATTAGTATAAAAACAAAGATTTATTTAAAACGATTTGTAATCTTTTTTATTCTTTTCTTTTAATAAGTTTCTTTTCTATTTATTATTAGTAAAAATTAGCTATTTTGCTTAAAAGGAATACAATTATTGATAATAATATCTATTTTGTTTTAAAATGTTATAATTTTAACAAATACTGTATTATCATTTTGTTTAAATATTTTATAGATTATAATAATAAACAAATTTTTATAAGAAAGAGTTTAATTAGAAATACTTGAAATATTTTTATAATCTCTAATAGTTACTTTTTTATATTCTTTTTTAAATAAATACATTCGAAGTTTTTGGATAAAAATGAATTAATTTGAAAAAAGATATTAATAAGTTACTAATATATTAGATAATATATAAATAAAGTTCTTTATTTTAGATTAAAAATTTAAAATAGTTTATAAAACGAATAATGCGAATTCTTTTTTAGAATAATTTGGTGAAAAAATAGTTAATTTTAGTCAAATTATAGATTGTAAAAAACAAATGAGTTGCCTTTAAAAAGTAATAGATTATGTTTTACTAACTAATGAAAGTTAAGAATTAGAATTTTTTTTAGTAAAAAATAAAAAAAACAATTAAATATTTACATAAGATAATACTTCTAATTAAAATAATAAACAATAGTTATTATATAAACTAATTATTGGATAAATAATATATGAAAGTAAAAAACTAATTTAAGTAACCGTTTTGAGTTTGAAATAAGTATAAGAAATAACAAATTTAAATGATAATTTTATGAAAAAAATATATTAAAGTTCATTAGAAAATATATGTTTATTAGAGAAAGATTATTTAAAATGGAGTAATATGGTATCTTTAAACATAATAAAGACAGATGATCTAAAAGATATTGCTTTATGTATATTAGAAAGTAGAATATAATATAATTACTTAAGTACAATAAGCATTTTAATGAGAGAATTTAATAAAAGAATATATAATAATTTATAGAATAAATTTGACTTAAAAAGCTGCCTTGTATAAAGTATAGAGGCTTTTATGGTTAAAAGAATAACTTAAGTTAATTAGTTAAATCTCTGTTTTGAAGAATCTTTTCCTTCTTCTTAAGTTTCTGGGGATGATGTTCAATTTAATTTATTAATTATGAATATACTTGAAGGTATTTTTTTCGATAATTAGAGTTTTTCGAATACTACTGGTAGTAATACAGGGAAATCGTTAAATGAAAAAAAAAAAAATATCCAAATATTTTGCAAATTAAAAGAAATCGGATAATATGGTAAATATATACTTAGTTTCGAATTTACTTTCGAATCTAATGTTCTAAATAAGTAGCTTTTCTTTTAAGTTTTTGATAAGCTTAAATAAATTAAAGAAGACGAGTTTATAAGCCCTTATATGTTAATTGGAGAAAGCGACATTTTTGTAAGTCTATTTGTTACTTTTTTTTTAGTAAAAAGGTCTTAAGGAAATTATTTTATTCAAGAATATTTAGAAGATAGTATAAATGAAATTGTAAACATTTTAGAATCTAATTAGGTTGTTTTATGTGTTGAAATGAATTATTTTCCAGTTGAAATGAAAACCATTATTGCCGAATAATAAAATAATATTTCACCAAGCTAATTTTAATATTTTAAATAAGAGAATTTCAAAAATACTATCCGAAATCCAAATTTACTTAATTTAACTTTTTGTCGAGAACCAACAAATAAAAATAGGTTTTTTTTTTTTTTTTTTTTGTATAATTATTTAGTTTATTTTTTTTTAAAAAAAAGTAGTTGTAATAATTTTATATGGAAATATAAAGATAATAAAGAAATTAAAAAAAATCATTTAGAAAAAAGGAAATTTTCAGAAATTTCAACAATATTTTAAAAAAAAATAACTTAAAACGAAAGTCCTACTATTTCAGATAAAAGGAAATAGTTTTATAATGCATCGTCTATAAATAATATTGGCGAGGATAAATCAAAAACGCCTTTTTATTAAGGACGTCAAACAAAACAGTAACTATAAACATTTGAGTTTAGAAAAGAAAAAAAAGCATAAGAAGAAAATAAATCTAAATATAATTTAATGAAAAAGCCTTCTATAATAATAAATAATAGTGAAGAATAAATACATTTATCTAGTTAGTAAAATTCGAGTAAAAATTTAAATAACTCAATAAAAGAAGTTAAATTGATTAATCTTTAGGAATTAACAAGTAAAGGCATATAGAATATAAAAACTGATTTTAAAGATAATTTTATTTTTTCTGATTAATAGGTTCATAAAATGTTTAATGAAAAAATGACTACTCTAAAATAAAAATATGTTAAAATAACTAAAAGCTTGATAAAATAAATTTTAAAATAATAATCTTAAAGTCAAAAGGAAATCAATTATATTGATTATAAATAGAATTCTTTGGATTTTATAAAAAATGATATTAATAAACAATAATAAAATATTAATTAAAATAATATTAGAAAACATATTATTCTCAAAAATAAATTCTAAACTAAACTTATTTAAAATAATAATTAAAATTTATTTAAGTTTCATTAAGATATTTAATCATTTTAGTAATCCAATTTATAATTTATTAACAAATAATAAAATGAAAAATAAAGTAAATGTAATCTCAATGAATTAGAAATAAATAACAACTATTGTTATTAGGAATAAAATAAAGAGGATTAATATACGAAAAGTTCTCTTTGCTCAAATTTAAGTGATATAGTACTTATTTACAATCCTAAATTAAATGATTAAATTAATTAATCTAGAACTTAAAAACATATAAGAAAATGGTTTATAGATGATTTTTGGAAATAGAAAGTAATTTTGTTTTAATTTTATGTAAAAGATGTATATAACTTTTTATTAAATAAAGGCTTATTTTATTTAAGATGATATTTTAATTTATACTGAAAGTTTCGAAATGATATAAGAATTCAAACATAATAATTATAATGAACTAAAGAAATTTAATAACATAAAAGTAGTAAAGAATAGTGTAGATTTTATTAATGAGTATAAATAACAACTTGAAAATTAATAATTATACAAATTTATTCTATTGGATATTATCTATTAAAATGAAGATGGGCTGAATGATATTATTAAGGCTGCCAATATGATAAGAATATGGGAATAAAAATTTTTTGTTCCAAAAACTATTTTAATTGGAGTATTTTCAAAATAATAAATAAAATAAATATATATATTTTTTAGATTAATAATTAAAAAGATGAAAATTTACTATTCATTGATATTTGGGTTGAAAATCGAACATAATTAAAAATTTATTTAAAAATTAATTAAAATATAATTGACAATATTTTTTTAATTTATTTAAAATAACAATAAAAAAAATAAAATTTTATAATAAAAAAATTATTTTATATTTAAAATGAAAATGAATACTGAATTTTAATAATTTGATATTGAAAACGACTAATATTAGTAAGAAAGTTTGCAAATATTTTAATAAAAAATTATAAAAAAATATTTTTTCAAAGGAAAATTAATTTTATATTTTGGACCTTAATGTTTTTTATTTCATTTTTTATAAAATATTATTTAATAAAGGGTTTTTATTTATAATTACACTTGCTTCCTTTGGATGTGCAGGAATATATTTTATTATCTAAAGTTATAAAAATGGCTCTTTACAATAATTTTTATTATGCATACTCATTACTATTTTTTAATTGTTTATTTACTCATATACGGCATTAAAAGATCCTGGAATAGCATATGATGATGATAATTAATCTATTGAGATTTAAGAGTATTTATATAAATTTATATTTTTAATTTTATTATAATTAGGATATGTAAAATTTGCAAAGTAAAATGTATAAAAAATCGGGTACATTGCTAATATTGTAATGTATGTATAGATGGATATGACCATCATTGTCCTTGGACTAGTAAATGTATAGGAGAAGGAAACATTTTTTAATTTTATGTTTTTTTGATGAGTACATGCGTATTTTTTGTGTATAATATAGTTTTTACTATTAATAAAATAATAAGTTGATTTGATTATTATTTTAAATTAATATTATAAATAGTAATTTATATATATTATTTTATAAATATAAAAATGGCAATTATATATATATATCTATATGTCTATTTTATTTATTTTTTCTAATTTTATATTTAAAAATTATATTATATTTATTTAAACTTTAAGTTTTATTTCTAAAATAAATTTTTGATTATTTTAAATAAATAAATAAACATGAAATTTCAAACTAATTCTACATATTAATTTTATGTCCAAAAGAAGTATCCTTAATTATTTTATTAGCTTAAAGTTTCGTTTTTAATATTCTTTAAATACCATTATCTTAAATAGTAACAAAAAAAAAAAATTAGATAAATAAAAAATAATTAATTTACTTTAATACTTTATATTATAAATGTAGAACATTTCCTTCTTCTATTTCCCTTTGTTATTTATATTTAATTATAAAAAAAATACTGATATAATTGAATTTTTAGAATACATTTATTCGCCATCAAAATTATACATGCCTCCAATCTTAAATTTTGCAAAAATATATTTGTCTTCATTTGGTTCTTCTAACTCTTTTTTTTTGGTTTTTTGTTATCATTATTTATTTAGAAAATTAATAATATACTTATTTAACAAGTTTTATCTATAGTATCTTATTCTATCCCTATATCTCTAAAATTATTAGGTAATCTACTTAATAAATGTGTATTAAACACTTTACTTCTTATTTATTAGTAACTTTTTTTATTTTATAATCATTATAGTTTTTAATTTAATATTGATTAATATTTTACTTTTAAATAAATTCTTTTTCTTCATTTGTTAAAAGATTAAGTTTGTCTTATTTAATTAAATACATCCAATATTTTAAATCTTTATTTTATATAATTTAAAATAAAATAAAATTAATAAATGCTAAATATTTGAAATCTAATTAAATATTAATATATTATATTATATTGTAATGTTATGTTTATTATTAATTGATAATATATATAATTCAATAAAAAAATAATATTAATTTTACTTTAAATAATCTAGTCCTTGCATAAACTTTGATTATATATTTAATTCTTTCACACTCTTCTTTTAAAATATCAATTGAAAATTTATTTATGGGTAGTTATAATTTTTTTTCTTAATTTATATTATCTTCATCTTCTTTAATATTTTATTCCTTTTTTTTTTTATTATTTTTTTATGATTAATTTAATTATCTTACTTAATAGTGAAGTAATTCAAATAAATTTTCTAATGTTTTTAATGATGTTTAATGTGGAATTATTTCTGGAATATATTTTTCATCTTTAATTAAATTAATAAGAATATCAATATCTTGGATTTATTCTTCTAAATTATTATCAAAAACATTAAAATCGTTACCTTAAATTATTTATTATTAAGAATTATTTATACTATCTTCCATTAAATTATTATAAATATACTATTTTAAATTTTCTAAAAAAAAAAAATAAAAAATATATAATTAAAAAAATAATAATAATAATTTATTACCCGCTCATTTTTTAAAAAATTACTTTTTGTGTATTTGTTATATACAATATATTAATTACTTCTTTATAATTTTTTTCTTTTTTCTTTTTTTAAAAACATTATCTATTTTTCTCGCCTATTTCTTTTATAATTAAATCTTTTTTTAAAAATAAATAAATAAATAAATAAAATAAATTACATTAAAAATTATAAACAACTAATACTTTATACTAAACAAAAAAAAAGGAATTTATAAATTATAATTTTTACTAAAAAATATGAATAGCCAAATAACTTAAATTAAACCTCCATTCACATTAGAAACAGCAATAAAAAAAGTAAGAATTGCCGAAAATGCTTGGAATAGTAGAGACCCGGAGAAAGTTTCTTTAGCATATACTATAGATACAAGATGGAGAAACAGAAACGAGTTTTTGAATGGAAGGGAGGAAGTATTAAATTTCTTGAAAAGAAAATGGAAAAAAGAAAACGAATATAGGTTAATTAAGGAATTATGGGCCTTTTTAGACAATAAAATTGCTGTTAGATTTGCTTATGAATGGTATGATGAAGAAAATAATAAATGGTTTAGAGCTTATGGGAACGAAAATTGGGAATTCGATTAAGAAGGATTAATGAAAATTAGACATGCTTCAATTAATGATGTGGAAATAAATTAAAATTAAAGGTTTTTTTTATGGCCATAAGGAATTAGACCAGATGATCATCCCGGATTATCAGAACTGGGTTTATGAAACAATAAATAATTAATTTTTAATTTTTATATAATATTTATTTAAAAAAAATATTAATATGTAATAATAATTTATTTTATTATTTTTAGTTAATAAAATTTTATTTATTTTTAGAAATTCTATTATAGAATAAAAATAAAAATGAATTATCAATTAAGATTATTAAAATATTATTACATATTTTAATGTTTTTTGTTAATTTTTTCTGTATTTTTTTTTTTTTAAAAAAAAAACTCAATACTAAATTATAAAAAAAATCTTTATTAATTTTTTCTTGTTTTTTTTTTTTTTTTTTATTGAATAAGTTTTTGTTTGTTTTTTTTTTTAAAAAAAAATAAAAAATAATAGTAATATATAGTAATATTCAAAAGAAATTCAATTTAAAATAATAATTTAGATTAAAAAATAAAAATAAAATAATCATATTATCAAGGGAATAATAAATATATAGTAACTTTTTATTTAAATTAAAAAAATAAAATTTAGAAAATAAAACGAAAACACAAACTAAAAAAAAAGAGATTAATGAAAAGAAATATGTGGATTTAACAAAAATATTAAATTAAAAGAAAACTTAGAAAATAAATTAAAAAATACTTTTATATGAAGAAAATAATCGTTTTTAAAACGAAAAAATTAATTTTTATTCAAGAAATCGAATAACTAACTTTACTATTAGAATAAAAATAAGAAAATAACAAAGGCATTAAAAGATAAACTAATATTAAATTAAGAAAAATTTGATTATAAAGGAAAAAATTGAAGAGAACTTATAATTAAAAATATAAATAGAAAAAAAAAAACCTCAAAAAATAAAAACAAAAAGCTTAAGAATATCACAATTGACAAATATTTAATTAAATTAAAATATAATTTCACTAAAACAAGAAAAAAGATAATAATGAATAATTTAATATAAAAAATACATATTTTATAGAAGAAAATGAGAACAGATAATATTAATATAATCCTTGTTTAAAATAATTTATAAATATTAGAAAATGGAATGTAAGAAATATATAATTTTACTAGTAAAGACAGTTAAAGTGATATTTAGTGGAAATTTATTTTTTTATAGTTATAATAAGATTAATTTAAAAATCAATCTTTGTAAAATAATTAAAATTTGGTTTAAAATAATAATGAGAGTATTCATTTAGAAAATATATCCAACAAAATTACTTTAATATATGAAATTAAAATGCTTTTAATTGAAAATGATATTTATAAAAATAATTGTTTATTTAAAGATATAAATATTTGGAATTATTTTCTTTTAAAAATAAATTAGAAAAGCTTAATGTGAAAATTAGTAATCGGATATATCGAAATAAATGAAAAAGTATTAGAGACTTATTTAATAAATATTAAAAATATAAAGAAAAATAATTAATATTAAATATAAATTGTTTATATTTTCGAGTTTAATATAATATTTTTATTTATATGTATTACATAATCTAAGTGTCTTTTATTTTAATCATTGTTTAATCTATAAGTAAAATAAAATTACATTACATTTAAATATAGTTTTTATTATTAATAATTAGTAAAAAAATAATTTATTATTATTAAAAAAAAAAAAAAAATACTAATTTTATAATTAAATATATATATATAAAAAAAAAAATAAATATAGATTTATTAATAATTTAATTTTATATATTAATTTTTATTTTTTTTAAAAAGAAAAATATTTATGATTAAATTGACTTTATGGTTATTTTTATAATGTATTTTATTTAAGTTTAGATAAATATTCTTATATGTTATTTATTAATTCAACTTGAATTTTTGTTAAGGAATAATGTTCCCATCATAATTATAACTGCGTAAGTTAAGCCAAATGCCTATTATCATTTTTTTTTTAATATTTTATGTTTATTATTAATATATTTTTACTAATAATAACCCAACAGATCCAGTAATAAATTTAAATGCTGTTTCATTAATTTTTTGTTCTTAAGATGTGTTATTATTAAAATTTTCTTTTCCTTCTTATTCGTTTTAATTCATTTTTTTGATTTTTTTTAATTCAATTTAATTAAATTTTTTTTATATATTTAAATTTCATTTTTATTAAATTAAAACAAAAAAAAAATAGAAATATATTATATAGAAAATATATTTTTTTTATTATAAAAAATAAATAATAAATTGATTTCATTACTAAGAATTGTTTTTTAGAATACTTTTTATATTATTATTTAATTCTTATATTAATTTTTATTCAATTTAATTAAGTCTTTTTATATTATTTTTTAATTAAATATAAAAATAAACAAAAAATAATACCTTAAATTAAAGTCTATATATTTTAAATTATTAAAAAATGTAATCTGTTATTGTATTTAATATACTAATTAAGAATTTAATTTGTTTTAACTTTAAAATAAAAAGGTTTATATATGATATATATATATATATATATATATATGATATATATATATATATATATATATATTATATAAAACATATTTCTATTTTTTCTAAATTTTTACAAGATTTTATCAATTATAAAGCTTCATCGTTTTTTATATAATTATGCCTTTTTAGTAATATTATATACTTTTTTTAATTTATTGCTTTTACTGTAAGTTTAAACTTAAATTTAATAGTTTTGTTTAATTAATAATACTCTATGCTATTATTAATATTCCTTCTTTTCTTAAATAGTTATTTTAAAAATTTAAACATAAACTTTCTAAAAATTTCAATTACTCAATATCTTTAAAAAGTTATAAAATTGCTATTTTATCAAGTTAATTAAAGCTTTTAATATAATTATATAATAAATTAAATTTTATTTTAAATACCTATAGTCAAGTGATAAATATTTTAAGTTTTATAATTTAATTAAAAATTATACTGAAGCAATAATTTCTAATTCATCAAAAAGCATATTTCTAATTTATATTTTAAAAAAATATCTATATATTTTAAATACATAATTATTAATTAAAAATGAAATTAAATATATTTTGAAATTTTTAATTATTAATTACTTAAAAGTGACATCTAAACTTGTTAATTATTATAATTAAGAAAAACTACAAAATAAGACTTAACATGCATAATGACTTATTTTAATTTAACTAAAAAAAATGAAAAAAATAAAATAGAAATTATCATATGTAATATTCAAAATATATTTACTTTAAATTTAAATAAATTACTTCTAAATTTTAACACAATTTAATTCCATTTGATATAATTTCGATTCCATTAAAACCAATTAAATTATTACTTTTTCAATTTTTTTATTTTAATAGATTTAATTTTTTATATATAACTTATTATTTACCTTAAAATTCAATTTTAAAATTCTCAAATAAGAACAATTTGAAAAACCATTAACAATATATTAGGTGATTTCTTAAAATACATTCGAATATCTAATATTTTTTATATATATAAATTTAAGAATCAAAAAGTTTAAATTTTTTCCTTTTACTTTAAATCAATTTCTA